GGATTTGTACACATGCTGAGTACACACATATTGGAAGTGAAGTGAATAAACAATATAAACAATATTTCTTGTCTTAAAACAACAAATTAGTGAATAAAAATGTACATTTTTCTTACAAACGCTTACTTAATTTAATTGAATTTTAGATTTTCCCGTCCACTGATTGATTGGACCGAAGTGCTCGGTCTCACTCAGGTTGACATGTCGGCTTCTTATACAGATGCTTCGACGATGTCTGGGCATTTAATTAGAATTTAATTGGTGGATGGTGACTAACAGTATGGAATCCAGGATAAAGCGCATTTCGGTCCAATCAATTGACGGGAAAATCTATTAAATTAAATTAACATGACCCGTTGCACAAGAGGTGCAGTGGCTCTCGTGGGCCCAAGTGGTCTAGTGGATAACCCGCTTTGGCGTTTGAAACTATGAGCATGGGTTCGAGCCTCGGTGGAGGGAACACCATCACTGACTCACTGGGGAATTCAGGTACATCCAGATGACGAGTCCCAAATAGGACGAGATGCGCATCCTGGGTTCCACTTCTAGTCACCATCCACCAATTAAATGCTTACTTATTTTATTTTATTATTACCTTTTAAGGCGACAAAAAAATCTCCACGCGTATGCTGGTGATAATTTTTTTTTAATCCTTTGTGTTCCCCAGTGGAAAATGGGGTTTCAAGCTTGAAATCTGAAGTTTCACTAGCAGTGGTGTTTATTTTTTTTACAGGGGAAGGGTGTGGCTATCTTCAAGCCCAACTTTTCCTCTTCATCGGGCGAGGTTTTCGAATGCATCGGTCAGAGATTGAAACCCGAATCAAGTGAGGCGTGGTTGGTTTGAGTATTCTACCTCTGAACCATCGACTGCTAGGTAAGGAGGAGGGGAAATCAATCGACAAGGTTGTGAAGTGAAGTTACATGGATTGACAGAGAGATGGTTAGGACACTGTGTTGCTGAGCATGCCTAGCCTATCCACTGATCGCCTTCCTCGACAACGGGAAATGTCAGCTGACTGAAATAAGATGGATCAGGTTGGAATAGAGTAAGCTAGTGGTGGTGGTGGCCAAGCCAAAACATAGCTTCATCAGTCAATGAAATAAATCCACAACAGTTAGTTTAAGCCAGCGAGCCAGTCACGTAGGGAGGTGTAGACTGACTGGCTGACTGGTTTAGGTCCTCAGAATGACGGTAAGAACCATTGATGGCGGTGGCTGTAGACAGTTGGTGAAATGGTTCAAAATCGTTCTCAATAGCTGGCACAGATGCATTCACTCTTCGTGAATTGTCATATCCAATAAAACTTCAGTGCATACTTCAATTTGAAGTGGACACAAAGGAGTGAAAAACGGTTTTATTCAATGTCAAGGTAAGTATATGTATGTGCATATATATATCAATGCTGATTTTGATTTTGTGTGTGTGTGTATGTGTGTGGTAAACTAATATAGGAAGAGAAAAACTGTTGTATCGATCCGAGATTTAAAAAAAATTAAAACAGAGTTAAACGTCAACAGGAAACTTTGACCAGTTTAAACAAAGAGCTAGAGAGAGAGAGAGAGAGATGAAACATATTTGCAGGATAAAACATGCGCATGTTTGTTTTTCCTATTTTTCATGGGTTTTTCTCAGTTGCTAACGTCCTAAATATGACAAAAGAGTTATTTTATAAATGAAATTATTATTTCACAAGGCGTTCAGCATAATGAATTAAAGAAGAAATGTCCAGATTGAAGTCCATAACAGTTGAAAAGAAATAAGTTTTTACTTTGATTGGATATTAGTCGGTGATTAGTGTAGTGTGTGTCTAGTCCTTTGTTCAGTTGGTGGAGACTGAATTCTATCAGTCAAGTTTGCAATGTAGCCACTATGCCACTAGGAGTGGCTTGCCATCATCACAATGAACTTTGAATTGTTAATATTACATGGTTGGAGGTAATCGACCACAGGAAGCCTTCGATACCACCTAGGTTTCGTGCTAGTTAGCACTCACCAGTTAGCTAACAAGGCGTATCTGCAACCGCTTTGAAGGATCTCATGTCCCTTCTGAGATTCGAACCCGCGTCACCCAGTGTTGCCTGGTCACGGCTTCCCAGTAGGGTACAGCAGGTTGAAGGTGAGGCAGTAACTCATCGAAGAAGACATTGCGAAGTGGTCGCGCTATGTCATGCGTGAATTGGCAGAAGCTGGAACTCATGGACTGGCTGGCCAATGGATCGGGTCCCAGTGACTGGCTTAATGGTCTACGAGCTAGCTCGCCTTATAACCAGAAGGTCCTGGGTTCGAACCCTGGCAGTGGGTGTGTACTGATGAAGAGACCCAAACTAGGTTGACAGAACAGCTGGCTGTCCACCACTCCCAGTTGGTTTTTCAGTGGTTCTCTAACTGATGTCAGCTCATGATGAAATCCTCCATCCAATCAAACAAAATCCTTACAAAACCAATACTTGAAAATATATTTAATTACACACGAACTTAGTAGCATCCAAAATGGACAGAATTATATTGGAATAGATTTATTGACTGCTCAGTCGAGTAAAACTGAACATCATGATACATTTTGCATAAAAAATTCTCTTTTTTTAAAACAAATTTAAAATATTTAGATTTTAATATGGTGAGAATATATATTACAATTAAGAAGCTTAATCTAGAATTTTCAACTTCAGTTACAATTTGTAACACAATATATGACAGTCGCCTGGTGTAATTTTTAAACGTGTCAACCTTATCAGTTTACAATAAGGGTTCAAAACATTCTATCTATGGTGGCGGAAGCTACTCACAACACCACCACCCCCCGCCGGCATTACTCTTTGATCTGCATGTGATTTTCAGTTCAAGAGAGAATTTTTTTTCTGTGAATTGAAATGATGAACTACTTTATATGCAAACTATAAATCATAAATACTATTATCAGTAAAAATTTACCAATGATATTTTAAAATATAGCGAAAATATTCATTCAGACATCTATAAAACACAAATCAAAAATATCCTTTTCGATAATTTCCTATTCGGGCTCTACAGTTATACATGTATATGTTTATATACATAGAATATTCTAGATTAGTAGTCAATAACAACTGGCTCCACGGGAGCCAGTTACATAGGCCGTACAATTAGGCGTGTTTCTCGTCGAATTTCCGAACATCACCCTGCTTAGTGGTTAAGTAAAGGACAAACAAAATCTATTCGTAGCGCTGTTCTATCTCATCTTGTGGATACAGAACACAAGATTGATGTAAACGACAAGGAGGCTTTCAAAGTCATTTACCACGCATACCAACAAATCTTAACTTCGCCTTAAGAGTTCGACTACTAAATATTGCTGAGGCTGGCTGTTGGGATCCATATTAAGAAGCCTAAATTGTGCGTCCAAAAGAAGCTAGTTCAGACATTGTCCTTACCTTGGCCATCTAGGTTCGAATGATCCTCGATTTGTTGTGGAAATTTCCTTAATTTTATTTGATATTCTATTTGCTATTATATTATTATTATTATTATAATTTATGCATCTTTAATGAACTCTAATTCCCTTGTTCTTACTTAACAAATCGACAGTATTTAAACGAAATACCAATATTGTTATTGACTACTAATCTAGAATATTCTATGTTTATAAACATATAGAATAAATAATTTTAGAGCCAGAAAAGGAAATTATCGAAAAGGATATTCTTTGCTCAATTATTTTGTGTTTTATAGATATTTTAAAAGTCATTTTGAAATATATCACACACAGAAGATAGACAATCATCCCAGTCTCCATTCGAGAATATATGTGAACGATTCTGGACCATCGAGAGAACTCGCAAAAACAACTTTAGAGTCATCTACAGAGTAAAGGGAAATCTTGTTAAGAAGAGAAAGTACTAACCGAACTTCTCCAAACCACAGAATCTATGACTCTAGTCAAATGTTAAATCCTGAACTCTGTGTAGTGAAGAAGTTTGTTCAGGCAATGTGGACTTACGACGATCTTAAATGGTTTCAAGTTTGACTACAGACTGAAAACCAGGGAGTACTGCACAGTTGTTTCACCCCAGTCTGAGACTCTTCAGCGAAACGCGTCCACTGAGGTTCGAACCCCGGAACTTCTGGTTACAACGTGAGCTAGCTCATAGACCATTCAGCCACTAGCAACCCGGTCCAATGGCCCGTGAATTCTAGCTTCTAATAATTTGCGATTTTAGCGAGACTACCAGCCAATGTCATCAGTGAGTCTTTGTTCTAATAACTGACCCGGTGGACCCCACTGATCACGACCCCGCCGGGTCGAGTCCCAGTGGCTGTATGGTCTGTCTTGCCTTGTAACCAGAAGGTCCTGGATTCGAAACCCGGTAGTGGGTGTGTACTGTCGATGAGTCCCAAACTAGGTTGGCGAAACAGCTGTCCAGTACTCCAGTACTGTTATGTTTCACCTGATCCACACATAATCATTATCTACAACTTGTTCAGCTTGAGAATTTTTTTTTATTCCTTTACGTTCCCAGTGGTAGAACATAGGACATCGAACTAGAGCCTCGAAGTTTCAGTAGCAGAGGTGATATTTATTTTTACAGGATGGGGTTGCTAGCCTCATGCTCAACCTTCCCTTTATACCAGTCTTATTACTGGCTTAGCAAGGTAAAGAGGTGCATCCAGTGGCCGGGGATCGAACGCCAAACCACATTAGGTGTAGTTGGCGAGCATTCTACCGCTGTGCCACCAACGCACAAGCTTGAGAATGATATCACTGGAAAGAGTAACTCTTCGTCGAGCACTGTGTATCGGCGGCACAGTGCTTAGGACTCTCACTAACCATGCACATGGTCCGGGGTTCGATCCCCTGCCAACGCACACCTGATTTCAATGGTCGGCCTGCAAAATTTGGGCTACCAATATCACATGCTGAAAATTCCATACTTGTACTTAAAAATACAGTGTGGAATCAAGCTATAATCAAAAATAATAATAATATAAAGAACATTAATTTAAGAACAAAAAACAAACTTACCCAACTATTTGTCAATTGTTGATGCAACACAGAACGTAGTTTATCTTTATCTCTTTCAAGTTCTTGTATTCTTTGATCTTTTGCTCTAATAACAGATTTTAAATGAGCAATTGTTTCTTGTAGTTGGACAATTGTTGTCGTCTCATGCTCTGATGATTTTGTTGGTGACATTGGATTAACACTTCCATTAACAATATTACTATTAATAGTAGGTGGATTATTTTTTGATGTAGTAGTAGTATGATAACCAGATGAATGTGGATTACTTGAAGGAGGATTCTGTGTTAATTGTTTATGATGTGATTTTGTAATCGGTGTGGTTGTTGTTTTATATGATTTATTGCTTGCAGTTTCATCTGATGGATGTTTTATAGGACCACTAGTACTACTTCCAAAGCCAGGAATTTGTCCATGGACGTTACCCTTGAAATAATAATAATAATGAAGGGAGAAAACAAAAAAAAAGATTTCACTTAGTTAGGAGAAATACTCGTATGCAATAAAACAATGGTCATCAACACACAAAAGTTGATTTGTAAGGATTAAAATTGTTTTTGCGAGTTTGACCATGGACTGATATCAGCCAAGTCATTGATTACCAGCCAAGGAGTACTGGACAGCTGTTTCACCAGCCTAGTTTGGGACTCATTGGCAGTACGCACCCACCCCACTGCCAGAGTTCGAACCCAGGACCTTCCGGTTACAAGGCAAGCTCGTATACCATTCAGCCGCTGGAACCCAACTCCTCAATAGCCAGCCCATGAATTCTAACTTCTACCAATTCGTGATTTAGCGCGACTGGCACCAACCAATGTCATCACGAATTGGTAGAGATTAGAATTCATGGGCTGGCTATTGAGGAGTTGGGTTCCAGCGGCTGAATAGTATACGAGCTTGCCTTGTAACTGGAAGGTCCTGGGTTCGAACTCTGGCAGTGGGTTGGGTGCGTACTGCCGATGATTCCCAAACTAGAATTAAACAGCTGGCTGTCTATTTAGGTGTATCTGAATCTCAATGGTTGGTGATATTCTCCCCGAGACTGGATCGAAACGCCCACTATGAATTCTACTACTGTAACGACAGAAGACAAGGGCCAGGCAACACATCGTTTATTGAGAAAATCAACAGATATTTATAGATTTTTATGTACAGTATTATTCGTTATTATTAGCAGAGAAACAACCTCTTCTGATTGGTTTTTCTTGTTGAAGGTTATTCTGTACTGATGTGACCATTTCTTAGAAAGTTGAGCCATATCTCTGCGAATCGTATCCGCCCACGCTAAGTCTGTTGTGATTGGTTGGCGATTTTCTCAAGGTTAAGCGTTGTTATTGTTGTTTTTTCTCATGACCCTGATTCGGGACGGAAAAATTGACGTAAATTGTTGTCTACAATTTTGGCTTGTTCTCAGACAGCTCTCACCACACTACTAGTCATCACGTATCAAGTAACACCAAGGTGAAATCAAATGTATCATGGAGATATTCATTCTAGAAACTCATATAGTAACAGAGACTATTTCATCGGCATTCTTGTCGAGCATAGGAAGGATTATAGGTTGGCAGGATATCGTTCTCAATGCCACTGAGGCATTCACATTTTATGGACTCCCAGACTCCTTAAATCCTCATTATTCTACACATGTACTTATTCTTCCTCCCGTACATTTTCTGTGTATTTTTTTCATCTACCTTTATGTGTGTATTTTATGAAGTGTGGAAAATAGGTGCCCAGCTTAAATCACTGCGCTACCTAAATTGCCGTCCGGTATAATGTATGACTGCGTCAGTAGTTTGGTGGTAGAACATTCGCTAACCAACCGGGGTTCGATCCCCGGCCACTGGACGCACTCCTAAACCTCCATAGGCCGGTAGTATGACTGTTAAAGACGGAAGGATGGACGTGAGGCTAGCAACCTCACCTCGTCGGTCAGTCAGTCAATCAGTCAGACAGACAGAGACTAGTCATTTCGGACCAATAGAGGGAAACACAACATGAAATGCATAAGTGTTTTAATGAATAAGAAAATAGCACATGAAGTACAAAGACCAAACTTTTAGCGTGGATATCTGCAATACTATGCCATAGACTTAATCAACAAACACAAGTTTCTAAACGAAGCACTGTTTCATATATGTATATATACATCTTGTGTATGATGGACAGGACATATGACAAATCACCTGTTCAAAAGAAATACCAATATACAAATCGAATTTCTTAGTCAGTAAATAATTTCGAATTTAATCGGTGGATGGTGCCTAGCATTGTGGAATCCAGGATAAAGCGCATTTCGTCCTATTTGGGACTCGTCATCTGGATGTACCTGCATTCCACAGTGAGTGATGATGTTCCCACCACTGAGGCCACCACGCCAAAGCCTTATCCACTAGACCACTTGGGCCACGAGAGCCACCTCTTGTGCAGTGGGTCATCATCACTCACTGGGGAATGCAGGTACATCCAGATGACAAGCCAGTCCCAAATAGGACGAAATGTGCTTTGTCATGCATTCCACTACTGCTAGTCACCATCCACCAGTTAACTTCTAATTACATGCCCAGACACATCGTCGAAGCATCTGCACAAGAAGCCGCCGACATGTCAACCTGAGTGAGACCGAGCACTTCTGTCCAATCAATCAATGGAAGGGAAAATCTAAAATTTAATGAAATAGTAAATGAGAACGATTTTTAACTATATCTCCAATAGTCTCGAGCCATCAGTTCTTAGAATCCTAAGGACCTCAACTAGCCAAGTGGTCTACACCTCCTTACATGCATCAAACTAATTATCAAAAACTGTATGAACTGATGACAAGTTTTGGTTTGACCTAACCCTTTTCCAAGCTAATCCGATGTCTGGTGAAATCAGTCATCGAGGAAGGTGATGCCTCGGCATGCTTATTTGACTATTCAAAATACGAGAATATAACGCGAAAAAAGCTTTAGTCTACCAAAATTTCTTAATAATTTCGTGATGGAATTTCACTGCATAAATATTGCAAACTGTGAATAAATTTTTGCAAATTACAAATTTGCCTCAATGTATTACTAGTTGGACAACAAGTAGCTAACCAGAATTTAACTAGTTTCAACCGATTTAATTCTCTAAAACTCAGTGTAACTGATTAAACAGATAATCAGGTCGGTTAGAAACGAGTGAAACGATAGTTTGGTGTTAGCAAACGTTATTGGTTGATGTGAGTAATATCGAACTACTTATATCAACCAGTTAGTAGTATGCAGCATTATATATTGCTTGGTTTAAGTTGTATAGTAATATAAGAACCAGGTATTAAGCGAAAACCCAGAGATATATATATATATATATATATATATATATAATCAAAATGAAATAGTTCTAGAAAGAACTAAACATGAATGATTCGAAGTTCACGATCTTTGCTTCCACTCTTTTTTGAACTGAACTAGGCTTTGATTGAAAAACAAGACGATATCGTTGTCATACGTAGGATTCTTAATAAAGCAGGAATTAGGGTGGTGACATTCAAACCTACAAATTCACTCAAGTAGGACAAGCTCTGTAGGCTAAAAGACCCGGTGGACCCAATTAAACAAAATAATATAATTTACAAAATACCTTGAAATGACTGTGAGTTAAGTCAACTACATAGGTCAAACTAGTATGTCGGGGGTAATCAGATTGTCGGAACATAAGAATTTAGCTAAGGAAAGAATGATTGACCCTGAGAAGATGAGTAATTGAGAAAAAAACAGCAATTGCACTGCATGCATTAACACACAACCACACAATAGCATGGTGGGAGAGGGTTAAGGTTCTAAGAAGTAATCTATGTAGGTGGGAAGATAGATATTGATTGCTGAATCCTACCTGGTTCATTGAGTCTACACCCAACACAAAACATGCATCAGAAATGACTCAATGCAAATACCAGAAATATGGAAGATATTATTACCACCAGTCAGTCAAATCAGAGGAGGATAATAAATAATCTCAAAATTCTATTTCAATTCACATACATCATAACAAGTTGTAACAAGTTACTTATTTTGACTATAAAAACACTCGTCTTATTTCCCATCTGATTGTAATTAATCAATAACACTCATATTATTATTTCTGAATGCACTTTATCTTATATTGATTTTTATTCAAATGTCTAGTCATTAATTTCACTCATGTATATAAATGAAGCAAGAAAGTTGTGTGAGTGACTTGATATGATTATGAGTGGTAACAATTTGTGCTCGACAGGTGGTCATCAGTTAATATTACTGTATAAACCACACTGTGTGACACTTTATCAAAATAAAATCTTATCCATAATGGAGTTATACTCTACCACCACAGTGCCCAAGTTTTATATCGTTGTGTTTTATTGACGTCTCGCTAGTTAATGCTGCAGCTAATAGCTTCATCAAAGTAGTAATATTAAACCAGAAGAATTTACAAAATCTCAGTATATATATAACTTAATCATCGTTCATCAGCTTAGGGTAATTTTTATGTTGTCAAGTTGGCCACGTGTAGATTGTTGGATTTTAATAAGTGTATAAAATTATATAAAAGCAACATGTGTTTACATAATAAAACTGCTTATGACATTCGTGTTGATATTGTCATTTCATCAGGGTGGAAGGGGATGGTTGTAACCAGGTCAAATTCTGTTTTAGTCCATCATTCCTATATTCATTTCAGACAATTTGGATTCCATTTGATGATATGAAGTGCTTCTGATGATGTGAGATGTTCTTTGTGATTTCTGAAATGCTTTTTCTGGATGATGATTTCAATATTGTCAAAATCAATTTTGTGGCCTGATTCTATAGTGTCGCGTGTAGATGAGTAATTGCTGTTGATTTTTCAAGCTTTCCTACTTCACTAACAGGATTTCTCGGTGGCCGAACAGACACTCACTCTACGGTGTTTATTTCTGGTTATCTTGATTTTTCTCTGTAGCGATGTGTCCCGTGCATATTGCATCACATTTCAAGCATTTTATTTCGTAGACATAATTAGATTGGGAATCTTTAGGTCTTTTACATAGTGTGTCTGATGTTTTGGCAAAAAATTTAATTTCGTGCTTATTGAGTACTCTTCTGATTTCGTTGGGAAATACAAAAACTTTTACGATGATGAATATCATTTACCCAAATTTAATTTAATTTTAAATTTTCCCGTCGACTGATTGATTGGACCGAAGTGCTCGATCTCACTCAGGTTGATATGTCGGCTTCTTGTGCAGATGCTTCGACGATGTTTTGGGCATTTAATTTGTGTCTAACTGGTGGATGGTGACTAGCAGTGGAATCCAGGTTAAAGCGTATTTCGTCCTATTTGGGACTGTCTCTTCAGCCACTGGATGTACCTGCATCCCCCAGTGAGTGGTGATGTTCCCACCGAGGCTCGAACCCAGTGCCCATTGTTTCAACCGCCAA